GAAATGTATCTTCACGCGAGTATAAACGAAGGTTGTCAATTGTAAATGTTATTCTACAATGTCTACAATTTAAATAAAACGAGCAATTCAAAGTGTTGAAATTAATATTTTATATGTGTATATATTGCAACCTAAATGTACGGCTGAATTGATCTAGTTCCACGGCGACAAACGTGGTGTACAATTTAAAATTGGATTTGAAATTTAATTTTCATCCGAAAAAAAAAGCTCGCGCGACTATTTATTTTGATCGGCATTGAGGTTTTAATTAAATGGAATATATAGACTATATAGAGAAATTTTATTCAAAACTCGTCAACTGTTCCGTCGAATTTCGACGAAATTTACGTTTGTCGTATCGTGAAACTTCGCCGTACGTTTTCGAGGGAAAATATTAACGTTCATTTGCAAAAGCGTGCCTCAATTATGTTAACGGAGGGGACATTTTAATTTCACGCCAATTCGCGCGCAAACTTCATTGCGACAGTAAGTTCGGATTAACTGTGTTACGCGTGTTTTTTTTTTTATTCGAAAGTTTCACTTAGAGATGTGTTTTTTTTTTTATTCGAAAGTATTCACTTAGAGCGTGTTTTTTTTTTTATTCGAAAGTTTCACTTTGATTACGAAGAATATATATCGAGAAAATTTTTAAAAATCCCTATAATTCTACCCTTGAGAATTTTCATCTTTACATTCATCGAATAGAAATGTTGACGCAAGTTAGATTTCCTCGGAATATTTCGACGCGTAATAGTAAATATGTATAGTATGCGTGAATATGGACGTACGAAAATATAATGTTTTTTTCCGGAATATAATTTTCAAGTTTAAAGTTTGAATATTCTATAGTTGTAGGATAAACATGATTAATAGAAAATTACGTATGATGTTAGAATCGTAATCAGAATAAATATTGCACGTAACTGTTTTAAGATCATATAGTTGTATTTTGCAAATGGAATTAAATAAAGAGCCACATTTTTATAAACTTAATAAAAAAATTTGCGCGAAAAGCTATTCTGTGCCAACTATACGAAATATGTTTCTTTTCGAACGTGAAATTCAAAAAGTCTTAAATACAGCAGAATTTCCAGTAATACTGAATTATTCGAAATATATTCGAAAAAGATTTGTTGCAAATATGTGAAGTGGTGTTTTATATAACGTACGAATCCAAGGAAATAATCCAGGATTATTGAACGTGAGTTTCACGTATCGAAGGCTAAAATTATCTAAATACTTATCTAAATTATTTTTACCTTTACGTAACTTTCTGTAGTGCCAAAAACTTCAACACGGTTAGGGACAGGTAAAAATTACGAATTCTTCCTTTGAAAGAAATCTCATGACTCGATTTTCAGAGGAAATTTTTTCGTGGAAAAATCCGTTGAAAAACTGCACTGTTATATTAATTAACATTGAATCGTAGGGTCGTGTCAAGCCTGTTTCAATTTCAGTTTTTCGCATAAAATCTCCTTGGAAGGTTGTACGATATCTTCAATAGTGGTTCGCTTCACATGATGTATTTTGGACGTTGGGATAATCGATCGAAGATATCCAATAACTTAGTAATTTAACTACGCGATATCCGGCTGTTCCAGATCTTATTGCCAGTCGTTCGCGATAAAGGTGTTCTTATTGCGTATCAATCATTTCATCCTGCCAGTTCGTTAACACGTAATTTATATCGGCGTAATTGCGCCGAGTTTATTCTTTCATTCGACATTGGTTGTATAAATCTGCGCCGTTCGTAACTGATATATTATTCACTGTGCCTCTCCTTTGCTACTCTATTCTGCTTTCTTTATAAATACCAGCGATCTTTATACGAAGGAGATAAGAGAGTCTGCCAGACGAAAAAATTTCAGTCCGTTCGTAAAGGAGAAACTGTATTTCGAATTATTCATTAATCTTCGGGATAGATTTATCAGGTTGTTGTCTCTCGAGAAATCTCGACGAAAAATGGAAGAAATCCAATGGGAAAAGTTATCATAAATAATACATCGTACATACGCTGAGAAAAGCGTGAGTTGTTTAGAAAAAAAAAATCGGATGTTCTTTTTAAATCGAAAGTTTAAGGTCGCGTCGGGATTTCTAGATCGGGTTTTTAGGTTCACTGCGGATTTTTACATTTCTTGGAGCATAACTAGAGAAACAGAATTCAAAAAGAATTTAAATAGAATTACATAAAAATCCGCAGTTTAGTTATTAGCTACTGATTATTTATAGTTTTTTTTTTTTTTTTTTTTAGGTTTAGGTTAGATTTTAAGGGATTTCAGTAGTTGAATTTCTTTTTGAAGAATTTTCAATGTGTCCTTTCAGCTGAGAATTTGATGCGAGAAAATACAAGATGGGCACACGCGTTGCAAATTGTGTCGTTTGTATGATTAAAGCCGTGCATAAAATGAACTTTTCTCTGTATTACTATAATTAATTAAACGCGTCATCGTCGTTCATTCAGTTTAGAGAATCATTCATCTCCACGCGTAATGTACGTGACATAATAATAAATTAATAATATCATTGTACAATATTAAATCATAATTCATTATTATTTACCACTTTAATATATCGCTTGGTACATTTAATTTACACACGATAACGCACGAGAAACTTTCGAAGATATCGATTAGTTTGTTCGGGTAGCCGATTCTTCAATTTATTTATCGCGAACGACTAGTTTCGACCTTTAGATTTCAACCTCTGTCGTTTCAATTGATACTCGCTGTTCAAATTACTCGAGAGCATAGACTGCAATTATCTTCGGCCGAATAAATCGTCGATACGCCAAGTTTCGCCAATGTTTCGTAAGATCTACGAAGTATTATTTGCTCGTCTTTGTGGCAAATGCAGAATACTCGTAATGAACGTGGTCCACCTGTTGGTCTCCAACAGATGCGGCTGCTTGCCGCTTAAACAAGCTAAATGAAACGATGAAACATACATTTGCTCTGGAGATCGTCTCGTGAATCGTTGCAATTTCAAAGCGCCGATGCACGGTCAGGCGAGTTGAGTAGAATGCTTGGGTTATTCGTAAATAACCGTCAGATGAATGAAGCAGGTTGAATATTTCTCAAGGATTGTACACGAGAGATATTTTTAAAATTACTCCATTCCTTCATTATT